GGATTTGTGCCCCCATGGTCACTTGGCTTCGGTCTTGCATTTCTTTTCCTTGCTGGAGCTGTCTTCGGACTGGCTCGTGCTGAGTGTGGAGAAGCTGGGTTCAAGGCCAGGGTCCGGTGGGCTTGCTTCGGCAGCTCGGGTGCTGGCTGCTTTGGTGAAGTTGTGTGCGCCGTTTCTGAGGGAGGCGGTGTCAGTTCTTCGCTTATCGCCTCGCATGCTGACTGGCAGTGTTTGTCCAAATTTTGGAATTGTTTTGGGCCCTGGCTCTTAGATTTTCATCCCCTTTTTGTCCGTTGCTGTTTGCAGAGTCTGCGGTGGTGCATTTTCTGCAAGCGGCATCGTTTAGTTGACGGCTTTTGTCAGACTTGTAGGTTCTCTGGGGAGGGGGGCCATGGAGGTCTCGGGGTTCCTTCAGTCGTCGTAAGCCAGTAGTGCCAGATTCAAGGCCGGCACCACCTCTGGAGCCGTCGGCATCTGGTCGGCGCAGTGATCACTCTCAGCGTTGGTTGGGCTCTCGTAGGGGTTGTTGGCCCTTTTGTGGGTTGCCCCATTGATAAGGCGATAGGGGAGGGAGGCTCGTGCTGTTTGCTCTTGCCTAGTCCCATGATTCGTGGGAATTTCGAGTCGTTTCCTCCGGCCTGCGGTGGAGTTGGGTCACTTCTCCTCCTTTAGGGGGGATCGGGGCTGGCAGGGCAGGCCTCTTCTCCTGTGCTCTCTCAGGTCATCCGGGAGTGGCTCTGTCAGGTCATAAAGGAGTGGATTCGCTTGGTTGTGGTCAAAACGACAACGTCCCTCAGGTGGGTTTCCCACCTGTTTTCAGTTTTGAAACTCGACTGTGTGGATCTGCAATTTATACTGGACTTGTTTAGTCTGAATCCCTGGGTCTTTTGCTCCTCTTTTCGGATGACCACTCTCTCAGGTCCGGCTGCTTTTGGCGCCGGGTGCCTGGATGGTGTGTCTGGACCTCCGGGACGAGTATTGGCACGTCCCGATTCATCCGGGGTTCAGGGACTGGCTCGGTTATGGCATGGCGCAACAAGCTTACCACTTTCGTTGCCTTCCATTCGGCTTGAATCTGGCACCTTGAGTGTTCACACGCCTTACCCGGGTCGTGGTGACCTGTTTGCTTCTGTTAGTGGTTCGGGTTCTGGCTTACCTCGACTCTTACCTGGCTCCCAGCCAGTCCGTGTTGTCTGCTCGCCAGGGATATGGTTCTTTCCCAGCACGCCAGGTTCGGGTTGTTGGTGAACTGGACTAAGTCCCATTTGGTTCCCTCTCAGGTTCGGATTTGGCTGGGTCTTGTGTGGGACTCTCGGACTGCTTCCTTGTCTCTCCCTCCTGCGATGCTGTTGTGGCTGCTGTCCCGCCTCCGGCTGTTTTTGGAGGGCACCCGGGTCACACGTCGAATTTTCGAGTTGCTGTGCGTGAGCCTGAACTTCGCTATTCTGATTTACCCATCGGGTCGAATCTGGTTCCGCAGCTCTTGCGATCGATGGCTTTGGATCCCGGGAGTCTTGTGTCAGCTGTTGCGTTGCCGGCTTCCTCTGCATGTTTTTCGGGGTTCTGTGCCGTGGCGCCTCCCCGAGCCCTCGCTTGATGTGTTCACGGATGCCTCGTCTCTTGGCTGGGGTTTTGTGACAAGTGCTTACCAGGCTGGGCAGAGTCGGTGGGATCCGTCCTTCCGTCAAGCTCACAGCACGGCACGGTAGTTTGCGACGGTGTGGCATTCACTTCAGAGGATTCGGGTCGCTCGAGGAGCAACGATCCGGATCCATTCGGACTGCTCCCCAGTGGTTCATTGCCTGAACTGCGGGTGTTCGATGCAGTCCTTGGTTCTTTGGGGCTGGTCGCTTCGGGTGACTCGTCTGCTGAGTTCTTGGGGTTTGGCTCTCCTGGCGGTTCATGTTCAGGGGGGTGTCAAACGTCCTGGCGGACAGCCCGTCTCGGTTCATTCCCCTTTTGGAATGGATGGCGGAATGGACGGTCGATGCTGACTCGTTCAGTTGGCATTGCCGGACATACGAGTGCCCAGAGGTGGACCTCTTCGCATCGGCGTAGTCGAGGCGTCTTCCAGTTCATGTGGTGCCCTTCCCAGACTGCGAGGCCGTCGGGGTTGATGCCTTTCAGCTGGACTGGTAGAGATGGAATTACTTGTACCTTGTCCTACCGGTTCGGTTGTTGCTCCGGATCCTGGCTCGGTTGGAGTCTTACTAGGGGAGAGTCGTCCTGTTGGCTCGTTGGTGGCCGGCCCAGCCTTGGTTTCAGGTGCTTCTTGCTCGATGTCCGAACTCGAGGGTCTTTCCACGGCTCCGCCTCTTTCAGCAGATCTTTTCGGTTCGGTTCGTGGCTGGTTCGATCTTCTCCTCCACTCTTCGCGTCTGGTCTTTTTGACACGGGTGTATCACCACTTGTTTGGTGATCGGGTGGCTTCGTTAATGGTGTCCCACCTGCGAGTTTTGTCTAGACGGCAGTACTGTATGGAATTTCCTGGTAGTCCTTCGGCTTTTTTTGTCTTCGTAGGTTGTCTTCGATTTCTGATCGGGTTGTTTTGTCCTTTCTCTCTTGGTTGTTTCAGGACTGTCATATAGATGCAAAATACTGTCACCTTGTATCGTGTGGTGCTGGCGGAGTCGCTGCAGCTTGCATTTGGAGGTGGATGTCACTTCTGCTCCATTCCACAAGCTTTCTCGGGCGTTGTTTCACCCCGGCCTGCTCATGCGCCACCTGAGCCGTCCTGGTCATTGGACGGGGTGCTCTCTTCTCTCTTCTCGGTTTGTGGTGGCCCCCTCGGTTCAGGACTGTTTTTCTAAGGATCTTTTCTTGTTGACATTGGCCTCTGGGGGTCGGGTTGGGGAGCTTCATGCTCTCCTCTGGCACAGGGGTTTCTGCTCTTTCGGTCCTGGTGGTCGTTTCATTCGTTTGCAGCCTTCCCCTTCTTTTCTGGCGAAGAATGAGTGCTGCTTTCCGAAGGTGTCCTTGGGTTGTTGATGCTTGGTTGGTTCGGCCGGGGGTGATCATGTTTTTGTGTGTGGCTCTTCGTCGTTAATTGCACGCCACAGCCTCTGTGGCAGAGGATGCGCTTTGGGTTGACCCTGTTTCCCTTCTCCCAGGTTGTCCTCAGGATTATTCGGTCCTGCCAGCCTGCGGTCTATCCCCGTGCCCGCGCCTTTCGTAAGTTCGGCATTCGGCTGCTGTTTTGGTAATACACTATGTCCTGGCCTATCTTCGGGCACGGGGCTTTTGGAGGTTGATGAGGGTCCTGGTTGCGCGTTGCCTTGTTAATGTTCTTCTCGGGCGGTGTATAGTCTTGGGTCGCAGGTTGCGACCAGTTGTCTTGTCTTTTGAGTAGAGGAGCGAGTGACGACCACTTCTCAGGCGAGTCCCTTTTTTCCTTATCTTTGGTTAGGTAGCTCCGGGGAGCCAAAGGGGCTCTCCACAGAAAACCAGTGTTGAATGTAAAGAAATACTATTTTCTGGGTGAGACCCGGAGGCTCCATGGCATCCCTCCCTCCTTCCGGACGTTTTTTTTTTTTTTTTTTTTGCGTTTTTGATACTCGGCCTCTGAACTGGGGAGAGTTGCTGGCGTGGAGGTCTGGGATCCTCCCCCCTTGTCCCCCTCCCGGGGAGGTGGGGGTTGCGCAGATGGATGTGCGGCAGTTGTGGTGACGTCATGTTTGTTTCCCAGTTTTTGATTTGGGGAGTTCCGTTTGCTTTTTCGGCTTTCGGTTTGCAATTTTTTTGGCCGGCAGTAGTTTGTTTTGAAATTCCTACATTTCTGGGTGCCTGACCTGGTAGACGGCAGACAAAGACTGCTTCCAATTACACGGGGGTGTCTTTAGGCCATTGCTCTTCGTCCCACTCTTGAAGGGGCCAGGTTCTGGCTCTGGTCCCCAGTAGGCTTAGAACTCCTTCGATTGACTGTTGCCACAGTCTAATATATACACATCAGCCCGGTATAGCTCCAGGGAGCCTCCGGGTCTCACCCAGAAAATGGCATTTGATTACATTCAATGCTGGTTTTTCCTTTGCAATATCCAGCTCAGAGATCAGGGCTCCTGGCAAGCTGTATGTGGGCTGTAATATTGCTTTTACAATTGCCTCCCTGGCTGTTCTGGCTGGGCATTCTTTGCACTCTTTAGTATCCCTTGTTTACTGCTTTGCAGAGCAGGCGAGTCCTTCCTCACCTCATTTGATATTGCCTCAATTAATAAATCACTTTTTATGGCCTGCTGGGCCACCCGCAACGCAGGGTAGGCCGGGTGTTGAAGTGAGCGCACAACCACACTTCAGTGTTTATACACTTTATAGTTTCTCACCTTAATTTTTGTGCTAAGCCATTTATTTTGGTATCAAATTAGTGCAAGATGTTGGCACACATTTTAAAACAAGTCCCATAATAATAAGAAAAAAAAAGGAATTTTTACAAATATTTTGGGGATTGTGAATGGCATAAACGTCGTCTCCCAAATTACGTGTATTGGTTTAAGGACTGCAATAATGTTAGCCCCCAACCAAAGTGCTTACCTTTGTCAGCAAACAAATACAATTCAATCTTAGAAATAAGACATTTAATCAATATCAAAGCACTTTTCTGAACAGAATCGTTTTATTTGTACTTTTGCACTCTTCCCCCCACATCATCTATCTCCCATGTACATATGTTCATTATTTTTGAATCGGCGTATGTGGTGTGGTCTGGATCTGGGAACCCTAAGGTGTGTATAATTCTGCTGCCGCCTGGTGGTGGTTAGCATAGATGGTAAACTAGGAAGAGACGTATTTAGTTAAAATATTTTAGCTGTCACTGGCAACTTCAATGACCGTGCAAGGAAGTTTGAAAAGTTTCTAATGGTTGGTGATTAGTATGCTGCATCCTGTCTAATTGTGCTATATACAGTGTTTTCTTTAATTTGTTTTCTGTTGTACAGTACTTGTAAATTTTAATTTGGAATGTAGCTGAAAAACCTGGATAAAAAAATAATAAAAAATTCTCCCACCAGCGTACCTCCAGTGTCGAGCTGTGCTGGCTCAAAGACTTCCAAAAATATGAGGGATGCTGAAGGTGGGAAGAAAGATGATGATGGAAGGAGTAAAGATCATTTGAATAGAGCATCATCATCTACAATGCTTACTGTTCCAACTTCCACCAGGAGGTCAAGGTCAGCCATTGTCTAATTTACTGTATTTTTTGTATATATATAAAGTACTATACAGTATCCACTCAATATAATGACCTATATGGGGCTGTATTCTGGTCATTCTTGATCTTTGCTAATTCCATTAGTATTACAATGTTGGTTTTTTACTCGTATTCGGGATGGCAACAGGATGAATGGTGGGTGGGCTGGCTGGCTAGGTCAATGGCCAGCCTGTTCTCACGAATGTTCCAAACGTCAAGAAACTGTCGTACTGAAGTGCCCTATCCTAACCTACCAGACCCATGAACAGAAAATGGGACATTGTCAATTTTTCAAGTTGCTATTATTTTCTTGCATAACAGTTTTTGTCCTTGGGTAAAGTATATAGCACGTTGCATCTTGATGTAAAGAAGACAGGTTGCATTGGCCGACACATTGGCTGGCTGTAAGTGTGGGCAGACAGGTGGGATGGATGATGGCAGGTAGGATGGATGATGGCAAGTGGGGGCAGGCAGGCAGGTGGGATGGATGATGGCAGGTAGGGGGGGCAGGCAGGTGGGATGGATGATGGCAGGTAGGATGGATGATGGCAAGTGGGGGCAGGCAGGCAGGTGGGATGGATGATGGCAGGTAGGGGGAAGGGCAGGCAGGTGGGATGGATGATGGCAGGTGGGGGGGGGGCAGGCAGATGGGATGGATGGTGGCAGGTGGGGGGGGGGGCAGGCAGGCAGGTGGGATGGATGATGGCAGGTGGGGGGGGGGAGGCAGGCAGGTGGGATGGATGATGGCAGGTAGGGGGGGCAAGCAGGTGGGATGGATGATGGCAGGTAGGATGGATGATGGCAAGTGGGGGCAGGCAGGCAGGTGGGATGGATGATGGCAGGTAGGGGGGGGGCAGGCAGGTGGGATGGATGATGGCAGGTAGGATGGATGATGGCAAGTGGGGGCAGGCAGGCAGGTGGGATGGATGATGGCAGGTAGGGGGGGGCAGGCAGGTGGGATGGATGATGGCAGGTGGGGGGGGGGGCAGGCAGATGGGATGGATGGTGGCAGGTGGGGGGGGGGCAGGCAGGCAGGTGGGATGGATGATGGCAGGTGGGGGGGGGGGAGGCAGGCAGGTGGGATGGATGATGGCAGGTGGGGGGGGGGCAGGCAGGTGGGATGGATGATGGCAGGTAGGATGGATGATGGCAAGTGGGGGCAGGCAGGCAGGTGGGATGGATGGTGGCAGGTAGGATGGGGGGGGCAGGCAGGCAGGCAGGTGGGATGGATGATGGCAGGTGGGGGGGAGGCAGGCAGGTGGGATGGATGATGGCAGGTGGGGGGGGGGCAGGCAGGTGGGATGGATGATGGCAGGTAGGATGGATGATGGCAAGTGGGGGCAGGCAGGCAGGTGGGATGGATGATGGCAGGTAGGGGGGGGGGAGGCAGGTGGGGGGGGCAGGCAGGCAGGTGGGATGGATGATGGCAGGTGGGGGGGGAGGCAGGCAGGTGGGATGGATGATGGCAGGGGGGGGGGGGAGGCAGGCAGGTGGGATGGATGATGGCAGGTGGGGGGGAGGCAGGCAGGTGGGATGGATGATGGCAAGTGGGGGCAGGCAGGCAGGTGGGATGGATGATGGCAGGTGGGGGGGGGGGCAGGCAGGTGGGATGGATGGTGGCAGGTGGGGGGGGGGAGGCAGGCAGGTGGGATGGATGGTGGCAGGTGGGGGGGGGCAGGCAGGTGGGATGGATGATGGCAGGTGGGGGGGGGCAGGCAGGTGGGATGGATGATGGCAGGTGGGGGGGGGGCAGGCAGGTGGGATGGATGATGGCAGGTGGGGGGGGGCAGGCAGGTGGGATGGATGATGGCAGGTGGGGGGGGGGCAGGCAGGTGGGATGAATGGTGGCAGGTGGGGGGGGGGCAGGCAGGTGGGATGGATGGTGGCAGGTGGGGGGGCAGGCAGGCAGGTGGGATGGATGGTGGCAGGTGGGGGGGCAGGCAGGTGGGATGGATGGTGGCAGTGGGGGGGGGCAGGCAGGTGGGATGGATGGTGGCAGGTGGGGGGGGAGGCAGGCAGGTGGGATGGATGGTGGCAGGTGGGGGGGGGCAGGCAGGTGGGATGGATGGTGGCAGGAGGGGGGGCAGGCAGGCAGATGGGATGGATGGTGGCAGGTGGGGGGGGGGGCAGGCAGGTGGGATGGATGGTGGCAGGTGGGGGGGGGGGGGGAGGCAGGCAGGTGGGGGGGGCAGGCAGGTGGGATGGATGGTGGCAGGTGGGGGGGGGGGCAGGCAGGCAGGTGGGATGGATGGTGGCAGGTGGGGGGGGGCAGGCAGGCAGGTGGGATGGATGGTGGCAGGTGGGATGGATGGTGGCAGGTGGGGGGGGAGGCAGGCAGGTGGGATGGATGGTGGCAGGTGGGGGGGGGTGGCAGGCAGGTGGGATGGATGGTGGCAGGTGGGGGGGCAGGCAGGTGGAATGGATGGTGGCAGGTGGGGGGGGGGCAGGCAGGCAGGTGGGATGGATGGTGGCAGGTGGGGGGGGACAGGCAGACAGGTGGGATGGATGATGGCAGGTGGGGGGGGGCAGGCAGGTGGGATGGATGGTGGCAGGGGGGGACAGGCAGGCAGGTGGGATGGATGGTGGCAGGTGGGGGGGACAGGCAGACAGGTGGGATGGATGATGGCAGGTGGGGGGGGGGGCAGGCAGGTGGGATGGATGGTGGCAGGTGGGGGGGACAGGCAGGCAGGTGGGATGGATGGTGGCAGGTGGGCAGGTGGGGGGGGGGGCAGGTAGGTAGGTGGGGGAGCAGACAGGCAGGTAGGATGGATGATGGCAGGTGGGGGGGGACAGGCAGGCAGGTGGGATGGATGGTGGCAGGTGGGCAGGTGGGGGGGGGCAGGTAGGTAGGTGGGGGGGCAGGCAGGCAGGTGGGATGGATGATGGCAGGTGGGGGGGGGGGGCAGGCAGGTGGGATGGATGATGGCAGGTGGGGGGCAGGCAGGTGGGGGGGGGCAGGCAGGCAGGTGGGATGGATGATGGCAGGTGGGGGGAGCAGGCAGGCAGGTGGGATGGTTGTTGGCAGGTGGGGGGGGGGCAGGCAGGCAGGTGGGATGGATGGTGGCAGGTGGGGGGGTGGGGGGGCAGGCAGGCAGGTGGGATGGATGATGGCAGGTGGGGGAGCAGACAGGCAGGTGGGATGGATGATGGCAGGTGGGGGGGCAGGCAGGCAGGTGGGATGGATAATGGCAGGTGGGGGGGCAGGCAGGCAGGTGGGATGGATGATGGCAAGTGGGGGGGGGGGCAGGCAGGCAGGTGGGATGGATGATGGCAAGTGGGGGGGGGGCAGGCAGGCAGGCAGGTGGGATGGATGATGGCAAGTGGGGGGGGGGGGGGCAGGCAGGCAGGTGGGATGGATGATGGCAGGTGGGGGGGGGCAGGCAGGTGGGATGGATGATGGCAGGTGGGGGGGGAGGCAGGCAGGTGGGATGGATGATGGCAGGTGGGGGGCAGGCAGGCAGGTGGGATGGTTGGTGGCAGGTGGGGGGGGGGTGGCAGGCAGGTGGGATGGATGATGGCGGGGGGGAGGCAGGCAGGCAGGTGGGATGGATGATGGCAGGTGGGATGGTTGGTGGCAGGTGGGGGGGGTGGATGATGGCGGGGGGAGGGCAGGCAGGCAGGTGGGGGACAGGCAAGCAGGCAGGTGGGGGGGGGCAGGCAGGTGGGGGGCAGGCAAGCAGGCAAGCAGGCAGGCAGGTGGGATGGTTAGTGGCAGGCAGGCAGGTGCGATGGATGATGTCAGGTGGGGTGGATGTGTGTGTGTGTGTGTGTGTACTCACCTATTTGTGCTTGCAGGATCGAGCTTGGCTCTTGGATCCTGCCTTTCTAGCCATCGGTTGTTTGCAGCAATGACTCCTGTCCCATTTCCCTATCATACCTAGTTTTAAAATTATGAATAGAGTTTGGTTCCACAACCTGTTCCCCCAAGTGCATTCCATTTTTCCACTACTCTCACGCTAAAAGAAAACTTCCTAACATCTCTGACTCATCTGAGTTTCCAGTTTCCACCCATGTCCCCTCGTTCTGTTATTATTACCTGTGAACATTTCATCTATTTCCACTTTGTCAATTCCTCTGAGTATTTTATATGTTCCTATCACATCTCCTCTCTCCCTTCTTTTCTCTAGTGTTGTAAGGTTCAGTTCCCTCAGACGTTCTTCATATCCCATCCCTCGTAACTCTGGGACAAGCCTCGTCGCAAACCTCTGAACCTTCTCTAGTTTCCTTATGTGTTTCTTCAGGTGGGGGCTCCATGATAGCATGGCATACTCTAAGACTGGTCTCACATAGGCAGTGTAAAGCGCCCTAAAAGCCTCCTCACTTAGGTTTCTGAATGAAGTTCTAATTTTCGCCAGTGTAGAGTACGCTGCTGTCGTTATCCTATTTATATGTGCCTCAGGAGTTAGATTAGGTGTCACATCCACTCCCAGGTCTCTTTCTCAAATCGTTACAGGTAGGCTGTTCCCCTTCATTGTGTACTGTCCCTTTGGTCTCCTATCACCTGATCCTATTTCCATAACTTTACATTTACTGGTGTTAAACTCCAGTAGCCATTTCCCTGACCATCTCTGCAACCTGTTTAAGTCCTCTTGGAGGATCCTACAATCCTCGTCTGTCACAACTCTTCTCATTAATTTTGCGTCATCCGCAAACATTGACATGTATGATTCCACTCCTGTAAACATATCATTTACGTAAATTAGAAAGAGGATTGGGCCCAGCACCGATCCTTGAGGTACTCCACTCGTTACTGTTCGCCAGTCCGACTTCTTGCCCCTTACCATTACCCTCTGGCTCCTTCCTGTTAGGTAGTTCCTTACCCATGCTAGGGCCTTTCCGCTTACTCCTGCCTGCCTCTCAAGTTTGTAAAGCAGTTTCATGTGCGGTACTGTATCAAAGGCCTTTCGGCAGTCAAGAAATATGCAGTCTGCCCAGCCTTCTCTGTCCTGCCTTATCCTTGTTACTTTGTCATAGAATTCT